ATATATTATTAACAGATTACCCTCTCCTCTTTTGCAAGGACTTTCTCCTTATCAAAAACTTTTTCACCGTGTTCCAGACTACTCTTTTATGCGTGAGTTTGGCTCTTCTTGCTATCCTAATTTTTCGGCCACTTCGGCTAATAAACTGTCACCTCGATCTGTTCAATGTGTTTTCCTTAGCTATGCGTCTGGATACAAGGGCTATCGTTGTTATGATCCCAATACAGGTTGTGTTTATGTCAGTCGTCACGTTAGATTTCATGGAGAAACTTATCCTTTTCAAACACTTAAGCAAAATCGAACTTCTCCTCCTCTTCCTCCCACACCATTTCCCATGCACCTTACTCACATCCCACCTCAAATTCCTACACAGCCATCCGTCGGTTGTACTTCCCCAACAATCATACAGCAACCCTCAAGCTCTCGGCCGACACCAGGCCACCATACTGAGCACTCACCCATCTCCCACATGACACCATGCTCCACCCCTCCATCATCCACCTCCATTAGGTCACCCGATAGGACACTGACGAGCACTTTGTCACGGTGCGTCAAAATAATTTCAATACTAAACACTTATATGTAGTATAGCGTAGTAGAGTTCGTATCCACAGGGAAAGGAATAATTCTCTTTTTTTGATACTTAGTAAATAAAAAGGGGGGGGGGGGGGGGGGGGTTGGATTGAGTGATTAAATTTAATTAAGAACTAAAATGAACAACTTATATGTGTTTAATTCAAAGATAAAAAGGATTTGGCATTGCTACTTTCCACTTGTTGATATATTTTAGTCGATCATTGTTATATCTATAACTTATTCCCTCTCGAATACTCAATCAGGGAGTATATCCACTTCATCGAGGATAGTTATTAACAACGACCGTTCATTAATAACCCTTACTATTAATCAAATATAGAACAACGCCTTATACCGATTTTATAGTAGCATTTAATCTTTCTAACTCCTTGATGAATTCAATTGAGATTGATAACCTCAACACAAGCGGTTTCAGTTTAACCAACAAAATTAATCCCTCTTAAGTTAATTAACCACGACCGTGCATTAATAAACCGAAGTTACTTACTTGTGAAACCATCAACGATTAACCATCGGTTCGTTGATCGTTTCTAGTAATAATTAATATATGAAACAAAACTAGTTGATCCTTTAAGTAATGTTCAAAATATTAATATGAAATAAGAGTAGGAATTAATTAATATTCAAGGAAGAATATTATTAAAGAAGATGAATCTTACTATAATTAATATCAAGATGTTAACTAATTGTCATCTTAGCAACACTCCCCAACATTAATATAGAGGAAGAAAATACCATTCTAACTAATGTCGAGATGTTAACTAATTGTCATCTTAGCAACACTCCCCAACATTAATATAGAGATGATATTAAAGAAAGAACTATTAATTAATATTCAAGGAAAGAAGTTAAGAAAATAACTCACAACTTTAATAATCAACAAGCTTCAAGAACAACACCAAGAATGGAAGTTTAGCTCCTCATTTGAAGACTAAACATAGCTAAAAAAAATATAAAGAAATGCTATTCTAAACTGAGCTAAAGAGTATGGAAGAAGGGATTATTTTTAGAGAAGAAAAAGTGTGCTATTTATAGGTGTTTTTCAACACCTTTGGTCGGGTACCCGACCGGGTCAAGTACTTACCCGACCGGGTCCGGTCAAAATCAGATAATCCGCCACGTTCTGGTGATCTTCGCACGTCGTTTTGTCCCGGGTCACATCTGACCCGACCGGGTCAAGTAGGGGACCCGACCGGGTCCAGTGACTTTCTTGGCAATTTCGTCTGTTAAATCATACCCGACCGGGTGGGGGTTTCTACCCGGTCGGGTTTCACTCCTGGGCAGTCAAATTTCTTGTTTTCTTCTCTTCAAAGTCTTCCTTTCCAACACCACAAATCCTAACTATACTTTACAACTTATAAATGAGAATTAAAATACGATTACAACTAAAATCACACAAATGTTTACAAACTAAATAAAACGGTAAACAATACACACAAATCAATCATAAAAATATACATTTATGCACTACTGATTAGTGCATATCAAATACCCCCACACTTAAACCTTTACTCGTCTCGAGTAAATCAAATCCGGTCCAAAAAGTCCTTAAAATGACAAGAATATCAACACACACATCCACGAGTGTTTTTAGAAGCACATAAAGAATATCCCCAAAAATATAACAGTAAAGAGGGTCTTCAACTCCATATTTCTTTATCAACCTCAACCTTTTATTTTTTTTCGTTACCCTTAGGATCCTGCAGAAATAAAAGAAAATACTTTCTCTCGTTCTCTCATTTTGCCTAGGTGCCCTTTCGGGTTTTCATCCCAGCTTCCCACATTTTTCTGTTTTAATCCTCACAACTCACTCTCATTTTTGCTTTATTTTTGCTTAAGTTGCCCTTTCAGGTTTTCAACTTAACAAGCTTTTTTATTATATTTTTTTTTACAAGAATAAAGAGTATGAATGTGAGTATTCCATAAAACTCTCCCCCCAAACTGATCAAAGCACTGTCCCTAGTGCTTGTGTCTGAGATGATTTTTTTTTTGGTTACTTTTTGGGAGGTTTTGTTGGTGATTCGTGGGTGTGGAGATGAAAAGGGTGAAGAGGTGATGAATGAAATGGGTTTAATTGGTGGATGGATGTAGGAGATATGAAGCTTTTGACTTTTGGAAATGGAGGAAATTTGGGGTGTGGTTCGAAAGGGAAGACAAAGGGGGTGATTTTTTTTAATGAGAAATGGCCTGGTTTCCAAAAAATCGAGATACCCGGCCGGGTGGGGTAGTGTACCCGGTCGGGCGTAAACTGTTCACCCGAGGCAGAAAGCTTGTGCTGGGTTGCCCGGCCGGGTATGAGGGTCTACCCGGTCGGGTGTTTGGTTTATCATTGTTCCGCTCTTGCCTCGCCCGGGTGGTTGGCCGGGTGTTTTGTTTTTAGAGGTAACCCGACCGGGTGGGGTTTTATACCCGGCCGGGTTCAATCCCAGGTCATTTTTTTTGAAAAGTGTAAAAATAAAATAAAACAAGTAAACGTACCTTGCTTGGGTTGCCTCCCAAGAAGCGCCTTAGTTAACGTCGCGGCACGACGCCATCATTGTGTTCAGTCGTTCAAACTGGGATCATGATAGTTTATCTTCGCCACATTTTCACTCCTAGGACTTCCATAGGAATGCTTGATTTTCTGACCCTTTATTTTGACCTTTCCGGGATCAAATATCCAGATTTCTATCGCTTCATATTGTGAGAGTGTTGGTCCATGATTTTCATTAAGCATGGTCAATGGAAGGGGGTTTGATTCGGGTGGTATAAGAGGGAGTATGAAATATTTGTGTAATCCCACCGTTATTCCTTGCTTATTTGTGAACAAAGAGAAGTCTAAATTATACTCACAATTGCTGAAGATTTCATAGATATCTTTGTCCTTCTCCACCCTTTGTGTTTCCCTTAGAGCCTCAGGAATGACCGGTGGTTGAGTTGAGTTTTGAGGTTCCTCCTCCGGTTGAGCTTTCTCCGTAAGCTCCTCTTCTTCCTCCTCCTCGCCCATGTGGTTCACAATGCTTGGCATTTGTTTCAACTGATTGTCCAAGTTCTGTTCGTTGGACACTGCTTCTTGCGAGCATTGTGACATATTTTGTTGCATATTTGTCACATCGATAGTGAGAGCTCGGATCATGTCTTCAGTGGACATGCTAGAATAAGAACATGAGTATGGGCTATATGTGTTGGAGAATGAATCATACCTCTCTTGGAAACCAACACCATTCCTTTGTTCAAAGAATTCTTCTCGAAGCTCTGGGCAAAAATCCGTAAGATGCCTTTGTGACATGCAAATGTTGCATGTATGTATATCTTGAGATTTTGAACATGAGATAAACTCCTTTATTAGAGAAGTCAAGTCGGAAATTTGACTCTCTAGGGATGATGTGTTGGTATCCATTTACTCATGCAAGCTCAGAAAATAGAAAAGTAAGATTTTTCTTTATAATTTTTTTTATTTTATTTTTTTGAGATAAAATAAAAAGAAAAATAATCGCCTTTCCCCGGCAACGGCGCCAAATTTGACGAGCACTTTGTCACGGTGCGTCAAAATAATTTCAATACTAAACACTTATATGTAGTATAGCGTAGTAGAGTTCGTATCCACAGGGAAAGGAATAATTCTCTTTTTTTGATACTTAGTAAATAAAAAAGGGGGGGATTTGGATTGAGTGATTAAATTTAATTAAGAACTAAAATGAACAACCTATATGTGTTTAATTCAAAGATAAAAAGGATTTGGCATTGCTACTTTCCACTTGTTGATATATTTTAGTCGATCATTGTTATATCTATAACTTATTCCCTCTCGAATACTCAATCAGGGAGTATATCCACTTCATCGAGGATAGTTATTAACAACGACCGTTCATTAATAACCCTTACTATTAATCAAATATAGAACAACGCCTTATACCGATTTTATAGTAGCATTTAATCTTTCTAACTCCTTGATGAATTCAATTGAGATTGATAACCTCAACACAAGCGGTTTCAGTTTAACCAACAAAATTAATCCCTCTTAAGTTAATTAACCACGACCGTGCATTAATAAACCGAAGTTACTTACTTGTGAAACCATCAACGATTAACCATCGGTTCGTTGATCGTTTCTAGTAATAATTAATATATGAAACAAAACTAGTTGATCCTTTAAGTAATGTTCAAAATATTAATATGAAATAAGAGTAGGAATTAATTAATATTCAAGGAAGAATATTATTAAAGAAGATGAATCCTACTATAATTAATATCAAGATGTTAACTAATTGTCATCTTAGCAACACTCCCCAACATTAATTTAGAGGAAGAAAATACCATTCTAACTAATGTTGAGATGTTAACTAATTGTCATCTTAGCAACACTCCCCAACATTAATATAGAGATGATATTAAAGAAAGAACTATTAATTAATATTCAAGGAAAGAAGTTAAGAAAATAACTCACAACTTTAATAATCAACAAGCTTCAAGAACAACACCAAGAATGGAAGTTTAGCTCCTCATTTGAAGACTAAACATAGCTAAAAAAAATATAAAGAAATGCTATTCTAAACTGAGCTAAAGAGTATGGAAGAAGGGATTATTTTTAGAGAAGAAAAAATGTGCTATTTATAGGTGTTTTTCAACACCTTTGGTCGGGTACCCGACCGGGTCAAGTACTTACCCGACCGGGTCCGGTCAAAATCAGATAATCCGCCACGTTCTGGTGATCTTCGCACGTCGTTTTGTCCCGGGTCACATCTGACCCGACCGGGTCAAGCAGGGGACCCGACCGGGTCCAGTGACTTTCTTGGCAATTTCGTCTGTTAAATCATACCCGACCGGGTGGGGGTTTCTACCCGGTCGGGTTTCACTCCTGGGCAGTCAAATTTCTTGTTTTCTTCTCTTCAAAGTCTTCCTTTCCAACACCACAAATCCTAACTATACTTTACAACTTATAAATGAGAATTAAAATACGATTACAACTAAAATCACACAAATGTTTACAAACTAAATAAAACGGTAAACAATACACACAAATCAATCATAAAAATATACATTTATGCACTACTGATTAGTGCATATCAGACACCAACTCCGGACCAGTGTGATTCTCCTCCATCTAACCAGACCGATACTCCTCCTTCCTCACCCACTTCGCACGTGCCCACTACAGTACTGAATCAGCATCCCATGCAAACCCAAGCCAAGGCGGGTATCTTTAAGCCCGAAACAATTTTTAGTTAAAGTACAGTTGTTAATCGCGCAGATCCTGATTGTTTTGATGAGGCTAATAAACATTTAAAATGGCGGAAAACGATGGCTGAGAAATTTAATGTTCTCATTAATAATCATACTTGGGATCTGGTGCCCTATGACAGCACTAAGAATATAGTTGCTTGTAAGTGGATTTATAAAACGAATTATCATTCGGGTGGGTCTGTTGAGCGCCATAAAGCTCGATTAGTTGTTCATGGTTTTAATCAACAGGCAAGTATTGATTTTTCTGAAACCCTTAGCCCTGTTATTAAACCTACCACCATTCGTGTTGTCCTTACTCTTGCTGTTTCTTTTGGTTGGGTCATTCGACAACTTGATGTTAAGAATGCATTTTTACATGGTCATTTAACAAAGGAAGTTTATATGCGTCAGCCTCGTGGTTTCACACATCCTCAATTTCCTAATCATATGTGTCACTTGTGCAAGGACATTTATGGACTTAAACAAGCACCACAGGCATGATTTCATCGGTTCAGTAGCGCTTTCTATTGCAGCATAATTTTTCTTGTGGTAAATCTGATAATTCTTTTGGGATTAAGGCTTGGATGTTGTTGTTGTTGTTATGTAGATGATATTATTATTACTGGCAATTCTGAGTCTACCATTTCCCAGTTTATTTCCATTATTTTGAACCACTTTGCTATGAAGGATCTTGGTAATTTACATTATTTTTGGGAGTTGAGGCTACTCGAGTTTCTTAAGGCCTGTTTCTTTCTCAAAACAAGTATGTTTCTAACCTTTTAGTCCGGTTTCATCTCCATACGGTTAAACCTGTTCGCACACTGTTGGTGTCTCGCACTACTCTGTCTCTGTCTGACGGTGAGTTACTTTCAGATGCTACTGAGTATCGCAATATGGTTGGTGCGTTACAATATTTAACTTTGACACGAACAGATATTACTTATGCAGTACACTTAATGTCTCAGTTCATGCATGCCCCTCGTACTACTCACTTGTTTGTAGACAAAAGAATTTTCAGGTATTTGCAAGGAACACATGATCATGGCTTATGGCTTCACCAATCTAATCGCCCCACGTGTGTTGTTGCATATTCTAATGCTGATTGGGCTGGTTGTCCTAATAGCTCTAGGTCTACAACAGGTTTTGGTGTATTTTTGGGACCTAATCTGGTCTCTTGGAAGTCCAAAAAGCAACCTACCGTGTCCAAGTCCTCTACAGAAGCTGAGTATCGAGCTATTGCCTATACTGTACAGGATACCCTTCACATCCGCTCTATTCTGTTTGAACTCGGCTACCCAATAACGAAACTAGTTCATTTGTTGTGTGACAATATTTCAGCTTCCTATTTGACTGCAAATCATATTCAGCATGCTCAAAATAAACACATCTAGATTGACTATCACTTTGTTCGCGAACGTGTAGCTCATTGAGATCTGATTGTTAAACATGTTCCTACTCATTTACAATTAGCTGATAGTTTTACTAAAAGCCTCCCTAGTCAGCGTTTTCATTTTTTAAAAGACAGTCTGCGCGTTGTATCTCCCGCACAGCTTGAGGGGTGTAATAGAATAATAATAGGAATATTTATGTATTTTACATTTAAACTCTTTTAATATAAATATATCTATCAGGACTCCTAAGAGAACATCATGTTCCATTATTCTCACACTAGGGAGAGTCTGACCTCGCTGAGACCCTAATCAGACTCAAGATCTATTGTCCAGGTTAGCCTTAGTATGGCTCATCCTAAATGGGCTATGATCGTTAATCCCATTAAATAATAGTCAGTTCATGCAATTTTGGGCAGATTTTCACTATGAGTCATCCAAAAACAATCTCTATGCTTTAGTACAGGGGTAAGACTCATACATCGGACCCCCTACCCAACCATAAGTGGGACCCTTTGCAACACTAGGGTAATGATAATGATGATGTAATTCACTCTTTAAAAAGCTACTCCCTCTGTCTCACTAACAATGTGACAAGAGGGAGTGACATGCAAATCAATAAAAAGTAGTTTATGTGATTGATATTGAATTGATAAAGTAAGAATAAAGTAAGAATGATTTAGAACCACACAAACTTTACCAAATTTGATATGGGACCATCTTAATGGGACGGGCGATAAGGTAAAACGGGACAACCATAACGGGACGGAGGTAGTACTTCATTTCCCGAACATACTTAAGATTTACAACTAGGGATAGACCCAACCGGTTCGGCCCGGCCCACCACTACGCAAGCTCGGACCAGACCAACCGAGACTGGACATTTATTTTGGGGAGGGTTGGGCAGGCCAGGCTCAGGTCCTGTATTTGTTGAACCGACCCGAGCGGTTCGAGCTAGGCCCGAGCTTTTTTTATTTTATTTTTTGGTTTTTTCAATTTTTTGTTTTTCTTGGTTAGAGCTGGGTGTTTTGGGGGGTGGGAGTGAGGGGGGGGGGGTCAGGGGCTAATTAGAAAGCAAAAAAAAATTACCTTGAACTAGGTCCGGCCCGGTTAGGCCCAAACCCGATATCAAACCAGGCCGATTCCGGGCCCAACAATTTGAAAAAAAAGCCCACCCAGACCCGGCCTGGGTCCATCCCTATTTAGGACTCTCATTATATCCTTAAAAAGGTATAATGAGAGTCCTAAATAGGGATGGACCCAGGCCGGGTCTGGGTGGGCTTTTTTTTCAAATTGTTGGGCCCGGAATCGGCCTGGTTTGATATCGGGTTTGGGCCTAACCGGGCCGGACCTAGTTCAAGGTAATTTTTTTTAGGTGTGTTAGGTGTAATGGGGATAAAAGGTTATGTAAAGTAGGTAACTAGAATAAGGGTATTAAGGATAACTTTAAAAGAAAAAGGGGGCAAATAAGCCAACGTACTAACCAAAAAAGGACAAATAAGTCCTTATATAAGAGGTCATGTCCGGCCGTCGTCAACTCGTCATTTGAGGCGGGACCCGGTGGAAATTTTTTATACAATTTTTTGAGCATATTATTCATTAAGTCTAGTTTACTCGTACCAAATTTCAGCTAAAACTTCAATCGGGAAGACATTCAAATGAAGATAACTACGCAGTTAAAAGCGCAGTTATCTTCAAGAATTTATTTTAATGTCTTCCTCATTGAACTGTTAGCTGAAATTTGGTATGAGTAAACTAGACTTAATGAATAAGATTCTCGAAAAAAATCATCAAAAAATTCCACCATGAACTGCCACAAATAATGACAGCCGAATAGATCATCCTATAAAAAGACTTATTTGACCTTTTTTGGTTAGTAAGTGAGCTTATTTACCCCTTTTCCCAACTTTAAAATACAAACTTTCTGAAAATGGAAATGGAAACTTTAATGGGATAACTTCCAAAAAAGAAAGTGAGAACTTGTTGAGAACCAAGTATATCCCAAACACCACCTTAGTGCTCATATTTTGAGCAAGAACTGTTTCTTGAGTCCTTGACCTCTTTGGGTATTACCAACACTTTCTTAATTACCAAAATGAAGATAACAATTTCCGGCTAGATCAATTGGAGACGGACAAAAAGCAGACATTCAAACCAAATTTTACTGAACCCATAATAAATATCAGCTGGTGTAAAGAAGTTCCACCATAAGCTCAGGGTGTTGACAATAAATTCAAAATTCCCATACTATTAAACTCAATTTTGGCACACTTCCAACAATTGTATGTTCACGTAACACAAGTGATTTTGCTCATCTATGATACTTGATAAAAAAAGGTCCGCATCAGACACTCATTTGATAGGATACGAAAAATATACCCAAACTCAAGACAAAGATCGAAGTTCACATCAGAGAAAACACTACTCACTTTGAAGCCCCTTTACTGCTATAAAAGTACAACTTTCACTGCTACATCTCCAGACCTATAAGAACCAGATGATATAATGTCCAAATATTCAAAATTCATACAATGCAAAGTTTATAACTATTAGCACCAAACAATAGAGTATAGCTATATTTTAGATTTCATAGGTTGGATTAGCAAAACTTAACATACTTATTATGAACCTTGCTCAGCTTGCTCAAATTACTTTATGAAGAAACACATTAACAAATCCCTCAACTTTGACAACTTTCCTTTTTTATTGTCTCACAAACTTTGCCACTCTCTCTTTTAACTAAAAAATTTGTGCTTCCAGTTAATTGTCTATCATCTGCACAAACCTCAACTACACAGTTTTTACTTTATTAATCCTCGTGCTGGTCAAACTCAGCCAAGTTTTAAGGGACAAAGAAAGTAAGTACTATCCTCCGTTCCGTTTTAATCGCAACATGTTGAATTTTACACTATTCACATACTCTACTTTGACTACATTTTACGCTACTATTTTATGAAAATTATTTTTTAAAAAAAATATTGTTCAATTCATCTCATTACAAATTTTCAAAATCTGATTTTTAATATATTTTTTAGTAATAGAATTAAGATATAATTACGGTCAAAGATGTGTGTTGGCAAATGTGAAATATTGACCGTTGAAACTAAAAAAGAAGATGGAGTATTTTTTTATACTTTCAAATTCAAGTAAAATTCATCACATCTAATAGAATACTAGATTAATTATATTTATAAACATACATACATTTAGGCCTTTGCCTTCAAGAGCCTAGCTTTCAGTTCATCTGCCACAGCATCAATGAATTGTTCGGTGTTCAGATATGTTTCCCTTGAAAGCCTGCATCATAATTAGAACACATCAGCTTATTTGTTTTCATAAGACAAGATTTGATTCTTGCATGGACAAAACTCAGACCGCAAAAATATCTATAGAAGAAAATTAAAGAGCAACACCCACTTGGAGCCATGGATGATAAGTGCAAGATCTTTGGTCATCTTCCCGGACTCCACAGCACCAATGCAAGCTGCTTCAAGCTTCTCCGTGAAATCCAATAGTCTAACATTGTTGTCCAACTTTGCCCTGCTCAGATTTACACAATACTATCAATTTTCTATAACTACTAATTTGTGGGATTTAAAATAATCTACACTTCCATGTTGTTAAGATCGCGAGCTGGCTCATTAGATCATCTGGTTTTACAAGTAGAAGGTGAAGGGGTGATCTTGAGTAGCTGGGATCAGAAATCGCATCAAGATTGCGGGATCGACAAGTTAGACCGTGATATTGCAGAAACAGTGATTTGTATTGATCTGCGTTGAATCCGAGCGTAGATAAAAAAAAATGGCACTCACAATCAGAAAATGCTCTCGCGATCGGAAATGGGCGCGAGTTTTAAAAACACAATGACTTGCAAAGACCCATGAGGCACCTGATTACCTGCGCATGGACCAAATATGTACTTCTGGTTTGAAATAGTTTGAAACTCAGAACCACTCAATAAAAGGCTGGGCCTTCTTCAGTTCTGCAGGTCTGCACTTCTCATCTTCTTCTTCTCAGAAACACAGCTTTGATTCAGTGATATTCATCCATCTACTCTTCATCCCTATGGTCTCTGCTAGTCTACTTTATTTCATCCCTAAAACCTTCCGACTCTTCTGTAAGTTTTTAATGACCCCTCTGCCTTATTTCATTTACTTATCTGATCGACTCTATCTTGGGTATCACATATTGTTATGGCAAGTGGTTCTGCCAGAGTGAATAAAAAGGTTGCTGTGCTTTTATACGAAGATGTTATTTTAAATTTATCTTTGTTAGTTAAGTGTTTTATTTTATATCTTTTAAAGTTGACATTATGTTATTAATTAATACTGACATTAATATGAATCCGGTGAGTAAAAAGAGTTCAATTTTTTCCGATAGAGTTTAAAGTAGAGTTTAAATTTATACACACACATATACATACATACATGAGAACAATGCTTAATGTGAGAACGTGATAACACCACATTCACCACAACATGATGCATAATGAAACTCATCTATTGCACTTTTTCGGGTTGTCATAATATTTACCAAAATACCACCGTGTTATTTAATACTCCATCCGTCCCGGAATGATCTTCCTTCTTTCCTTTTCGGTCCGTCCCAAATTTCTCCTTTTTCCTTTTTTGGCAATGAATTTGTGGTTCACAACCATTCTTACACATTTCTCTTTCCTCTGCACAACTCTCCACACATTTTCCACTATCTTAAAACCCGTGCCCAGTCAAATAAGGAGATAATTCCGGGACGGAGGTAGTACTAACTTAATTTGAGCAAAATTAAAAATATGTAACAAAAGAGAGTTCTATTGTGCACCACATTAATTTAAATGTGAGTGTTCTCACGTTCTCACGTTAAGTATCGTTCTCATTGGAACACACCCCATGAGAATGATCATGTAACTATGTAAGGTAGGCCTAAGATGCACCATCTTAGGCTCTCTTTAATTTTAGGCCAAAAATGAATTCAATTATCCCAATTTCTTTACTTAACAATATCTTTAACGTCTTAAAGATAAAATTTTATGAAAAAGAAAAATCTATTCTTATTGGTGAATTGATCTTAATTATTAAATTTGCATTTAAAGTAAAAAGAGAGTATGAGTGTCTATTTTCTTACCAATTTTAAATCTTACCACTAAAATAAATGGTTAATACTAATGATCATATAAAATTGGACCATTAAAATCGTTAAATTGCTAAAAATGAAAGAACCTTAAGATTGTGCATCTTAGGTCTACCTTAATTGATCATTCTCCTATACATACACACACATACAAATATATAGTTGGTTTGATTCTAGGATCTTACGATCACTACAAGAAAATCATTCAATAGTGAGGGAAATTTAATGACAGTAGCAAAAGCCCCACTAAAAGTGTAATTTGTATACTTTTTATACAACAACATCCAAGCCTTAATCCCAAAAGAATTTGGGGTCGGCTAACATAAATCGATCAATGATATCGATGCCAAACAGAGAAGATGGACAAGAAAGGGAAGAAGAAGAAACAGTAAGATAAAACGAATAAAATAAAGATAAATAAATACTACCTCCGTCCCTTAAAACTCTGTTATGTTTGACTGGCACAGGGATTAATAAAGTAAAAACTGTGTGGTAGATGTTTGTGCAGAAGAGAGAAAATTAATTGGAACCACAAATTCTTTACTTAAAAGGAAAAGTGTCAAAGTTAGTGGGACATCCAAAAAGGAAAGTAGGCAAAGTTTTAAGGGACGGAGAGAGTATAAGATAACAATAACACAAGAATATAAGAAAGATAAAACATAAAAAAAGAGCATAAAAAGCTAGAATATAAAAATAAGATAAGAATATAAAATGATAAAGAAAATAAATACCACAACATCAAAGCCTTAGTCCCAAAAGATATTGGGGTCGGCTAACATGAATCGATACATGATATCACTTTCATATTTCGATTCATGTCATGTCATGTGACTAGGTGATACTGTTGGCCGTCACACGCCTACCACAGCACCCTCCTCCTTTATCCTGGCTTGGGACAGGCATGATACCAAAAAAATGATATCATGGCGGAATTGTAAAGAAAATAAATGATAAAAGAAAAAAGAGAGGAAGGGTAGAAAAGACATCAATCGTCTACATAGATGTGCGCCCTCCATTTTGCTTTCTCCAAAGTCATACTCTCATCCAACCCAAGAAGACGGATATCAGTTCTGATTCCTTTAATCCAAGTCTGTTTGGATCTTCCCCTCTCTCTCTTCTCTACCTCTTCTCCCCACCCCTCAAGTCATCTAACAGGTGCATCACTCGGTCTTCTATGCACATGCTCAAACCACCGCAAACGAGACTCTTGCATCTTATCTTCTATAGATGTTGCTCCCACCTTTTGTCTGATTATCTCATTCCTCAAACGGTCTTTTCTGGTATGTCCACACATCCAACGCAACATACGCAACTCTGCCACACTCATCTTTTGAATGTGGCCTTGCTTCACCGCCCAACACTCTACGACATACATTAAAGCAGGCCTAATTGTTGTTCGATAAAATTTACCCTTCAGTCTAGTCGACATACCTCGATCGCATAGAAATCCTGAAGCACTCTTCCATTTCATCCACCCAGCTCTGATTCTATGGCATACATCTCCATCTAATCACCATCCTTCTGAATTATGGAACCCAAGTAACGGAACATATCACACACCGGTATCTCTTTACCATCAAGAGTAATCCCACTCTTGTTACTACTTCTACCTCCACAAAACTTGCAATCAATACACTCAGTCTTGCTTCGGCTCAGTCTGAAACCATTGGTCTTCAATGTTTATCGCCATACTTCCAAATTTGCTTTAACATCGGATTGTGTCTCATCAATTAATACAATATCGTCGGCAAACATCATGCACCACGGTATATCTTCTTGGATCGACTTCGTAAGTTCATCCATGATTATGGCAAATAAGAAAGGACTCAGAGCAGATCCTTGGTGCACTCCGATAGTAATAGGAAACTCTGCGGTCCTCCCTACACTAGTGCAGACACTTGTAGTACAAGCATCATACATATCCATGATGATACTGATGTACTTACGTGATATACCTCTTCTAGTTAAGGCCCACCACAGGATTTCTCAAGGTACCCTATCATATGCCTTTTCTAAGTCAATGAACACCAAATGCAGATTCTTCATAACTTGTCTAAGAAGGTGAATGGCCTCAGTTGTTGAGCGTCCAGGCATAAAACCAAATTGATTCTCCGAAATTTTCACACTTTTACAAAGTCTTTGCTCAACCACTCACTCCCAAAGTTTCATGGTGTGACTCATAAGCTTAATCCCTCGATAGTTAGCATATTCTTGTACATCACCCTTATTTTTAAATAAGGGAATGAGAGTACTCTTCCCAAATCATTTTTAAATAGCATTTTGTTGTTTCTCCAAATCATGTTGAAGAAACATGTTAGCCACCTGATGCCTTTCTTTTCCAAACTTCTCCGAGCCTCGATCGGTATGCCATCTGGGCCCACTGTTTTCTTCCGCCCCATTTTTCTCATAGCCTCCTTAACTTCTGTTGTTTGAATCCTTCTCACGAAGTATCGATTTACCATACACTCTGGTATAGTAAGATCATGAATACCTTGCACTTTATTCCCGTTGAACAAGGTATCAAAGTATGACCTTCACCTCTCTTTAATTTCTTTGTCCTCCATTAGTACCCTATGATCGAATCCTTCACACACTTAATTTTTCCGATATCCCGAGTCCTACAATCACGAAGGCGAGCAAGTCTGTATATATCTTCTCCTTCTTTCGAGTCCAACTTTGCATATAATTCCTTGTTCACTTTTCCTATGGCTTCCTTCACAACTTTCTTTGCTCCTCTACGAGCCTCCTTGTACTTCTCTATGTTCTCGTCGCTCAAATTTTTGCCCAATTTCTTATAGCATTCCCTTTTGGTCCTTATTGCTTGTTTCACCTCATCATTCCACCAAGATGTGTCCTTTTTTTTGTGGCAAACATCCTTTAGATTCTCTTAGTATCTCCTTCGCCACTTTGTTAATGGTGAACTCCATTGATAACCACACATCATCCACATGTGTGTCATTATCAATAGACCATACATCTTCCTCCAACATTTTGTATGCAGAACTTTGTTGGAAATTCCCCTCGAGCCTCCACCATTTTATCTTTGGCCCCCTTGTACCTTAACCAATCTCCTCTTTTTTCCTTGAAAATCAAGCACAAGCATCCTATGCTGAGTGACAGCACTCTCACCTTACAATCACTGTAGTTAGTTCCCCATGTCGTCTGTACTAAAAAGTAGTCAATTTGGGTATTATTAGCTCCACTTCTATAGGTGACAAGGTGAGAGTCTCTTTTCTTGAACCAAGTGTTCATCACAACCTCATATGTCAAGACAAAATCCAAAATATTCTTTCCCGCTTCATTTCTAGTGCCAAAGCCATGTCCGCCATGGATACTCTCAAAACCATCCCGACTTGGGCCCACATGCCCATTGAGGTCGCCTCTTATTACCAGCTTCTCTCCCCTTGGCACTCGTCGCACCACTCCTTCAAGATTCTTCCAAAATTGTTGAGTGATAGATGCATCCAATCCCACTTGTGGGGCATAGGCACTTACCACGGACACAATCTCATCTCTCATTATCAACTTAATGCTCATGATTCGATCGTTCTTCCTAAAGACTTCAACCACACCCTCAACATAATCATGTGCCACCATAATGCCTACTCCATTTTTGTTCCTCTCTCTCCCCGAGTACCACAGCTTAAAACCTCCGAGATTAATCTCACGTGCCTTTTCTCCAACTCACTTAGTTTCTTGCATGCACATTATGCTGATATTCCTCCTTTTCATAACCTCAACTATCTCAGATGATCTTCCCATAAGAGAGCCAACATTCCATGTCCCAAAACGCAATCTAACACCCTGCCTTCTCTTCTTCACACCACATCGACCCCACCATGCCCTTGCATATTTGACACCATCCCCGGGCATTGGAGTGGTGCGTCGCTTTCGGGCAACGACCTAGCAACCTTAGCATTCTTATCACCACACTCGGGCCTATGAAGTGTAGCGTGCCCTTGCTCATTTGACACCACCCCAGGCAGAGGGATGACGTGTCGCTTACGGGCCACGACCTAGCTGTAGCGATACTCATATTTCGATTCATGTCATGTGATGTGACTAACTGATACTGTTGGCCGTCACGCGCCTACCACAGCACCCTCTTCCTTTATACTGGCCTAGTACCATAAAATGTATACTTTTTATGAGAGTAAAAAATCCCTCAAGTAAAACTTAGGTTAATAGTGACCAAATTTAAAACTCATACACTCTTCCGACATTATTGGGTAACCGGATAAAAAATGTGGCCAACTTTCCCTCCAACAGTTAGTACTCTGCCGGTCATTTATTTATTTTTATCCTAAAGCATTTAAAATACTTGGTCTTACTTAATAGGTAATACGGAGTACTAGGGTTGAGGTAAATAATGGTATTAATGAGAGGATTTATTCTGATTAAAAATTGTATTTAATGATGGTGTATTTACCCTCATTATAAACTTATTAATGATGGTATCCATTTTCTATCATTATATCTTTTAACAGCGGAAGCTATAATGAGAGGTCATGACAGGATATTTCCCATCACAAAAAGTCTTTTATGACAGGATATGAACTTTTAACCATGGTATTTCCCTTCATTATAGGCAAACTTTCTTGTAGTGAATCTGAGTTACGATCTCCTAGACCCGTTCTGATGCACCATTCTAGGATGCACCCCGAGATATATAGATGCGCCATTCTAGGATCTCGAGTTTAACAACCTTGCTTCACTTACCTAAGGAGAATAGATGGACATTTATGCAAAAGAAAATGCAATGTGCATTGGTTATACAAAATGACTTATATTTAAGATCACCTAATATTTCCTTATTTATGATACCAAAATGGGGTAATACATGTATGTTTGTATGCACGTGTTTAAATCTATAAGGCTTGGACTAGGGCCAAACTTTTTTGGGACTAAGGCTTGGATGTTGTTGTGTTTAAATCTATAAACGTGTCAGGTTTGGGAAATGTGGTAATGCTAAAATGAGGATGAAGCGGGTTTGGGTACGGATTTTTGCTAAATGGGTGACCCATGGTCATCCACTACTTTTAACTTTTGGGTACGAACAGAATGAATCGTACATACCTGTGTGCCAGGCCACGAGTCCAAGCAAAGATGGAGGCAATGCTGTTTGTGCTAGTTTCACCACCCTTCTGGTGAACTCTATAGTGGCGTGTAACAGTTCCATGTGCTGCTTCAGCCTCTATGGTTTTTCCGTCCGGGCAGAGCTATAACAAATCCATAAATGTTTTGGAGAGTAAGATGTAACATTTAGCTAAAGAGTAATAATAATAATGTTAATAATAATAATGAAATAATATTTAGAATGATGATGATAATAACATTAATAAATGATAAAAAATATAGATGTAATAAGCTACTTTAAAACTAAACTTTCACAATGATAGCGATTAACTTGAGCTGAAAAGGAGGTTATTGATAAACAGAGTGCAACAGAATTCAAGAGAAATGATTAGATCATTATTATTGTGTAGTCCACTTTACATTCTATTTATAAGTTGCTAGAATCTAACTATACAAGAGATTAAATGAAGTCAATTCAGTTAGGTATTATTCTAACTAACTGTATTCCTAATATTCTCCCCTCAAACTCAGTGTGATTTCTTTGGAAGTTCCATTACATTGAGTTTGCTTTTCAACTCAGTAAATCTGGAGGGTGAAAGTGGTTTAGTTAGCACATCAACAACTTGATAAGGACCAGGAATATGCTTCACTTGAAGTCTTTTATGAAGAATCTTTTCTCTGACAAAATAAAGATCAAGCTCCATGTGTTTTATTCTTGAGTGGAAAAAAGGATTGTGAGCTATATGCACAGCACTGAGATTGTCACAATAGATCTGAGGAATGAAGCTTGGAACTTGAATTTCCTGAAGAAGATATTGAATCCACATGATCTCTACTGCAGTATCAGCTAAACTTTGTGGTTGTCCCAAAAAATTTTGTCACTTTCCTATTAAAGCAACTAATTTGTGGTTCTACGCTTCTACTCAATTATCTTTCCTCTGCACAAACCTCAACCACACAAATTTTACTTTTCTTATTTCTCACCTACTTTGAAATTAGCAAAGTATACCGGGACAGAGGCAGTAGTATTTAGTATAGTTAAATTAGTAAACTACAGCCATTGATATGCGAAAGGTGCAGGCCTGCAGGGTACGAATGGCACACTTCTTTTAAAAAAATCCTTTGTTATGTGTAGTACTCCTGCAGGTTTCCCACACCAAAAAGACGGGGGATTTCCCCTCTTTGTTGCCTTATAAAAGGTTGAGCTTCATTCGCTACGAGTAAGCAACAATTTCTAAGAATTAATCCTGACCTGATGAAAATGGGCCGTGCTTGGTATGGGCAATGCCTCTTAGTCTGGTCCATGTAATTTGAAATCGTGAAATCGTTGGAAATCGCGAGTTAAAACGATTTTCCGATTGTGTAACAATTTTGAGTCCCCAATATTTTTTGGGACTAAGGCTTGGATGTTGTTGTTGTTGTGTAACGATTTTGAGCGATTTTTATGAATTCCGATTATATACACGATTTGAATCTGAATGCAGATATTGAATGGTAAAATAGTACGATTTTTCAATCCAAATCGCGATTTTGATAACCTTGACTAAGACTTGGATGTTTTTGTTGTTGTAGAGACATATTAATGTACTTTAAAACTTACACATCAAGTATTAGAATTGACTTAAAGCAAAAATGAGAAGGGGTAAATTAATTTTAGGCTTTCAGCCCCTTACAAATGCAACTTTGGCAATTCTAATCCTTCCGTTTGCAATGGCTTTTAAATTTCTAACTAGAACTAAAACAGCCACAATGATATGCAACCAGGGAAGATTTTTGAAAAGGGTAAATAATAGTTTAGTAGAGTTGCATAACGAGGGAATACAATTGCACCTTATCCATACAAACAAAAAATGAATTTATGTAAAATTATAGGTGAAAGGTCCAATTAGTAACAGATTAGTGCCTATTTTGTTTAATAGGTCATTCCGATTGATTTTTGGACAACTAACTACACATCTTTCTAGTTTTTACCAAGAGGTCTATTTAGATTTTTTTGACATGAATACATGATTTCCCTTCTAGGGTTTAGTTAGCTCATATAGGATTTAGTTTATCCCGATTAGGATTTATTAAGCTCTTTTAAAGTTTAGTTAGCCCTATTAGAGTTTAGTAAGCCCCTCTACGGTTTTGTCAGCCCTTCTAGGATTTAGGTTTTTGCAATTAGAGTTCAGGTTTTTAGTAACGGTTGAGGCAACGACATGGGTGTTTCCAGCGGCGATCTATGTGGTTGTCGCAGCAGCATCAGTCTACTCAGCAGGCAGCAGCAGTGGTTTATTGTTTTAGCACATTGGTGTTTAACTACTAAAGTGGCAAACCTGTAAACTTTTATTGGTCTTTTAAATCTTATTTGGTCGTATTACACAAAATATGTACATGTTAGTAAAAAAGATGTGCATGTTTTAGTTGGCACATTTTCTAATTAATGCACCTTTTGGTCAAACCTCTAAATTATGTGATATGCTGGAAACCCGAGCAATAAAAAAATAGGACAAAAAACTACAGTCACAAGGGATATATATAGTTAAAAGTGCAGCATACCAGGACAGATGTCATCAGACCAAGAGATCCAAAGCCTGTTTTAAAGATAAAGAAATTGAGAAGATCAGCAATCTATCAGGACATCAAAACTAAAAAGGGACCAGCACTAACATAAAACATTTTTTCATAACAACCCGAAAGGTTTGAATAAAAAATGTACCTAAAACTATTATCAGAGGTAACTGAGACAAAAAAAAATCAATTCCAGCATACCTTGAGCTAGGAAATCACTCTGAACATCCCCATCATAGTTCTTGCATGCCCAGACATACCCACCATCACTCTTCAATGCATAAGCAACCATATCATCTATAAGACGGTGTTCATACCTATGACATTAATAGAAATGATCAGTAAAACTAAAGATGCAATGCACAGTCGAGTACACCTCATGAGAAAAGTACTCTCCCTGTCCCTTATTTATTTCTCAGTTTTACTTTTCATCGTTAACAAATTCAAATTGTGTGGTTCAGATTTACTTCGAAAGGAAAACAAATTACACCACACAATTCTTTGCTTAAAAGGGAATAGAAAAGAAAGCAAGCAGATAATCAAGGGCATAGGGTAGCAATACTCTCACCAAATTCCAGCCTCTACAAACTTTGATTTCCATTGAGCTTCGTAGACTTCTTGAAATATATCCTTGAACCTTCATGACAGAATATAAAACGTAAGTGGAAGGAAGAGATTGAAACATAAAAAAAAGAGTAACAAGTAACCTAAACAAGAGTAGGAATTAAGATGAATTGTAATTTTTTAAGAGAGGTACCTTCCATCATATTTCTTAAGAATAGTATTCTTTGTACTGAGATATAGGGGCCACTTCTTTTCATATGCCATGTTCATCGAAGCTTCAGCAAAAGCATGAATAGACTACGAAGTATAACAAAACAGTATCTTATTAGTTCAAGTACATATAAAATGTCACGTCTGATCCAGTAGAAATCAATTAAAACGAAACAACAACAACATTCAAGCCTTGGTCCCAGAAGACTTTGGGTGAAATCACTTTAAATGAAAACAAGAAAAAAAGAAACAGAGAGGGCTATAAGCAAACCTCATCAGTGTTGTACATCGAAAGGGCAACTCCACCAGCTCCAGTGAAGTTGAAAACCTCAAACTCTGTCTTTTCATCTTGCTTTCCTTCCGGTACTTGAAAAAGAAATCACAACTCATTAACCGAGTATGTCTATTAACTACGGGAACAGTTAAAAAGAAAACAAAAGTAGATTCATACATTCAAAATTTTATATCATTACAGATATGTAGAGCAAGTAAAAAGAAAATAAATTACTGAGTACTATTCAGAAAAAGAATTTACCGAACACCAGTTTGAGTTTTCCAGCTCCTTGAATAACTGTATCAGTTGCTCTGTACTGATCACCAAATGCATGTCTACCAATGCAAATTGCTTTATTCCAACCTGATGAAACAAGATATAACTTGCACACATGAGGAACTGAGATGAGGAAAACATGAACTTTAAAGGGTCCTGAATACAATACTTGGGACAAGGCGGGGAATGTTCTTGCAAAGAATTGGCTCCCTGAACACAGTACCTGCACATAAAAGCCCAAAACGCATCATCAATAAGCAGTAGAATAATTTTGAATTACTATGCAACAAACATCATCAAATAGGAGTATACAAAATTACCATTCAAGATGTTCCTAATTGTTCCATTTGGACTCTTCCACATTTGTTTCAGGTTAAATTCCTTTACACGGTCTTCATCTGCAAAGACCATTAACATTGCATCATAAGCAATTCTTAACACAATGCCAACAATCAAACATCCATGAGTATGCAGACACTAACCTGGAGTAATGGTTGCACACTTAATTGCTACATTATACCTACAAATACAAAATTACAAAATGTAAACACAAAAACATGTGCAAAAGAAGGTTCATACAGGCAGCGTCAATTGAGCTCATATACCAATACAATATAAAATGTGTAGGTAACACCATGAATTGACCATAATTTCATTGCATCATATGTCTTTATTAATTTGAAGTTGAGTGGGAAAAAACTTCATACATACTTCAGGGTAGCTTCTGCACTCTCAACTGTAACCTTATCATCTGTGGCATCACGATGAGGAAGGCCAAGGTCAAAGTACTTTATATCCAACTCCAGAAATGGCAAAATGAGCTAAAATGCAACAAGATAAGAGTAATTCAAATTTTATTACCAGCAAAATCATATTCATTGGATAGCAGATGAAATGCTGCGTATAAAAGTATGAGCAATATAAAATTGTTACCTTGTCCTTGATTGATTGCCAAATAACCCTGGTCATTTCATCCCCTAGTTACAAAATGTTGAATAAAACATAATAAGACAAATGTGCATTTCTGTTATTGGAAAGAATCAATATTGAAAAAGCATATTGAATATATGTTTGTCATGTGTGTCTGCTCGAGCTCAGATGAACATTTATAAATAGCTTGAGAATTAAGCTGAATATTGAAAATACATAGTTCCAACTAAGATCAACATGAAGAGATCAGATTGCAATTTGAAAAACTTGTTCGAAAGACTAATCAAAACGTGAAGCAAGAGGAGATAAAAAGATGTCCTCTTTAAAGATATTCGTATCATTTCTCGCATGTGCCCTACAGGATACAACGAGTATATATCTGCCAAAAGTACACATCCATATAAACCCAGTGGAGAAACACAGATACTGTCCCTACGTATCAAGAAAAACACGGTTCCATCCGGCGTCTTTTAAAAAGATTTCTGGTGCGCTAAAAATAGTGATTCATAGCAGAATATCGATACGTTACACGATTTGCAGAGAAAAAACATGGAACTGAAACGCCCTAACACAGATCCTAGTGAAGCGAAAATAGATATATAAACAGATGGAAAAATGAAAAGTGAAAGTCGTGAACAGGGATCTAACCGTCCATCTCGACGATGGGGTTGGCAACCTTGATCTTTTGGAAAGCCATTCCCGTTTGATCGGTGAGTTAAAATCAAGCTACGGTGAGAAATGCGGGGATCCAAGAACTAGTTTCCGCCGGCGTGGAGAGTGAAGAACGGAGAAAGGATGAGAGTGGGTGAGCGCTGTGGGAAAGAAAGAAGAAAAACACCGATTTTGAGCGCCTTAAAATGGGGGATTATTACTCCCCTATACGACTTTCTTTCTAGTGTTTCCACATTCTGACCTTTCTCACCCACGTGAATGATATGGTATTGGGATCTTGATTTTGTGATAAGTAGGGACAACTCAAGTTACTCCCTAGGTCCCGAAATATTGCTTCTTTTTAGGTCCGTCCTGAAATAATTGTAAAATTTTCCTTATTTTGTAAACAAATCTAGGATGTTTTTACTTGGATTATAATTTGCTGGTCTGGTCTGGTCTGATCTTGTCTGATCTGGTCTGGTCTGGTCTGGTTTCTTTGTATTTTTATAACTATCCAAGTCTGGTCTGGTCTGATCTGGTCCGAACTGGTCTGGTCTGGTATGGTCTGGTCTGGTCTGGTCTGATCTGGTCTGGTCTGGTCTAGGACGAATTACAGTCCAAGTAAAAACATCCCTACACGGAACAGTGTCAAACAGTGCAAAACAATGCCAAACAGTGTCGTTACAGTGCCAAACAATGTCGCTACAGTGTCAAACAGTGTCGCTACAGTGTGAAGTCAACTTCATTTTCTTAATACTTCGTATGTGTGAAGGTCAAAACAAGACGATTAATTCGGGACGGAGGGAGTATTTATTTTTAGGGGAAATTGGATTTCATAAAAATGATGACACATCATCTTTGAGGGTTCCCAACACCGATCGGACAGTTAGATGGGAGAATGTAAATTGGACTTTAATTACAAGTTGATGTAAATTGGATTTTAATCACAAGTTGACAGACAAAGAGTGAGGCTCTAACCCTGGTATTTGCAAAAGCCATGTGCATTTTTAGCATAGTAACCTCACATCGCAGTTGATGGGATTCGAACTTGAGACTTACCCCTTGTGGCACCCCCTATCTACCGGTTGAGCTACACCCACCGGTGAAATTGGATTTCATAATTCCAACTTTCGCGTGTAAGAGAGTGTTTGCGACGGCTTTTGCTTTAACAAAGTGATTGTAAAGTAATTTTGGATAAAGAGTTTAATATTAAAAATTGATAGTGTTTGAGAAAAAATTGATTTTAAAAAGTAAAAGTTAGTAATGTTTGGTAAAATATGTGTTTTGTGTGTAATAGAAAAAGTAAAAAGCACGGAGTTTTCACTTTTTAGCTTTTAAGTATTTAGTTTAAGAGCCCGTTTGGTGACCCCTTTTTCGGCTTATCAGGCTTATCGTGTTATATCGTGGGAGCGGTGCAGGGTGAGCATCGTGCTCCCACTATTATATGAAATGTAATCTGTGTGAATCAACATGCAACTTCAGGTTAATCTAAATGTAAATTTCACTCATTCAAATGTAACTCATTGAAATGTAAACTTCTTTGATTCAAATGTAACTTGGGAACAAATCAGATGTAACTTGTGAAATGTAACTTTAGTCTATTCAAATGTAACATGGGAACAAGTACATGTAACTTATGAAATCAACATCTAGGAGAAATGAAAATTCAATTTAATCTGAATTTGAATAATACGCAGCCCTATGGATGCTAAATCAATCAAAAGAATTTGCTTTCAATTTTAAAATGGTTATGCATAAATCTTCCTGCAACAACGAATTCATTCATCTCCTCCACTCCTTGAGAGGTTGAAATTTCAAAATTTCATAAACAACAAACTTGGGATGTACGTTGGAGAAATAAAAGGAAGAGATAACATTTGTTCATCATTTAGTGTGTCTGTGGATTGGGTTCAATTAGATCGAACTAGCCAAACAAGAGCTTTCGTTCGTTCATTAACATAGAAAGAAGAAAGGAGAAGAATAAGGAAGTGGAGGAGGAGAAGGAGAAGAAAGAAAGAAAGAAAGAAAGAAGAAGAAGAAGAAGAAGAAGAAGAAGAAGAAGAAGAAGAAGAAGAAGAAGAAGAAGAAGAAGAAGAAGAAGAAGAAGAAGAAGAAGAAGAAGAAGAAGAAGAAGAAGAAGAAGAAGAAGAAGAAGAAGAAGAAGAAGAAGAAGAAGAAGAAGAAGAAGAAGAAGAAGAAGAAGAAGAAGAAGAAGAAGAAGAAGAAGAAGAAGAAGAAGAAGAAGAAGAAGAAGAAGAAGAAGAAGAAGAAGAAGAAAGCTTACCTGTACTGATGCCCGTCCGTGGTCGAAGATGGGGGAAAAATTGATTGTTCCAGAGACGGAGATGCCTATGTCGGTCCTCTAGCAGCTGTGATCGATCGATGCTCTTGTTTTTAATCAATAAGGAGAAACTGTTTGGGATCGCGGCACAATGTGCGCATGGTGAGCCGATCCCACGATATAATTTGCGCTTATCGGTCGGTTTTTTCACCAAACAAGTAATTTTTTATTTCGCGGCTGAAGCTTGTAATAAGCAAAAAAAGTAAGATTTGAGTTAGTTTTCTGGCTGTTTTGACAGAAGTTACTGTAGAGGATCACTTTAGCTATTTTTTCATATAATTTTTTATTTAATTGATTGATAACAAATATTTTAGATATAATTTTTTCATGAATCAGCATAATCAGCCAATATAGCCAATTCATCCAGAACTTCATAAATTTCAGCAGAATCAGCCAATTCAGCCAATTTTAGTGTTACCAAATGGGCTCTAGGTAGAAGTTGTCACTTGAAAAAACTCATTTCAGCTTTTTTAAGTCAAAAGCTGGAAAGCACTTTCTTAATTGTTTGCAAACATGCCCTAATAATCTCTATCGGTGGTTATTATCAAGTGGTCCTAACTTAGGTGGGCTTTTTCTAAAAATAGTCATCGTGACTGGTTACCGATTAACAAAGTAATAAAGCACGCCCAAATTTAGAACTCCTTATCCTTGTTATACACCATCATATTTCATCTTATCAGTTCATCGAATGAAACTGAATGCAATCTTCCTTCCCTCCACTTCGTTGTTGTTAGCTTTCCCCTACACCACACCCAAAAGTTACGCAATCTCCCTTTCATCCTTCTTCCAATTGTGAGTTACACTCAGAAAAGTTCGTGCATGTCACTTGAAGGGTCCCAGAGCTTAATTGCGACCATATAGGTAAAGATTAAGTTTTTTATTTTAAAATGTGCCTATGTCCTTACCCCACCATTGATAGGAACCTTTGCGGCATTGGGATGATGATGATGATGATGATGATGACGATGAAGATGATGATGATGAATGTGACTATGTATCTGCTGAATTCCATTCTTCTAAACCCACTGATCCCTGTTCATTTCCCCAGGTTCCTTCTAGTGAACAAATGTGTTAGCCACTCAATGTCTTTCTCTCTCAAACTTCTCCAAGCCTCGATCGGTATGCCATCTAGACACACTGCTTTCTTCCGCCCCAGCTTTCTCATAGCCTCGTTAACCTCTGTTGTTTAGATCCTTCTCACAAAGTCCTGATTTACCATACACTCAAGTACAATAATTAGATCCTCAATACCTTACACTTTATTCTTGTTGAAAAAGGTATCAAAGTATGACCTCCATCTCTCTTTTATTTCCTCGTCCTTCATTAGTACCCTTTGATCGACATCTTTCACACACTCAACTTTTCTTGTATCTTGAGTCTTGCGGTCACGAAGGCGAGCAAGTCTGCAAATATCATTTTCTCCTTCCTTAAAGTCCAATTTTACATACAATTCCTTGTTCACTTTTTTCTCTTGCTTCGTTTATAGCTTTCTTTGCTCTTCTTCTAGCCTCCTTATACTCCTCTATGTTCTCGTCACTCCAACTTTTGTCCAAATTCATATAGCAATCCCTTTTGATCTTCATTGCTTGTTTCACCTCATCATTCCACCAAGATGTGTCCTTTTTAGTGGTAGACACCCCTTAGATTCTACGAGTATCTCCTTCGCCACTTTGTTAATGGTGGACTGCATTGATAACCACACATCATCCACATGCGTGTCATTATCAATAGACCGTACATTTTCCTCCAACATTATGTGCGCAAAACCTTGTTGGAGATCCCCGTTAAGTCTCCACCACTTTATCTTTGACTCCTCTTGTACCTTAACTCGCCTTCTCTTTTTACCTTGAAAATCAAGCTCAAGCATCCTATGTTGAATGACAACACTCTCACCTGAGATAACCTTACAATCAGTGTAGCTAGTTCTCCAAGTCATCCGTACTAAAAAATAGTCAATTTGGGTACTATTAGCTCCACTTCTATAGGTCACAAGGTGAGAGTCTCTTTTCTTGAACTAAATGTTCATCACAGCCAACTCATATGTCAATGCAAAATCCAGAATGTTCTTCCCCGCTTCATTTCTAGTGCCAAAACCGTGTCCGCCATGGATACTCTCAAAACCATCACGACTTGTGCTCACATGCCCATCGAGGTCGCCTCCTATGACCAGCTTCTCCCCCCTTGGCACTCGTCGTACCACTTCCTCGAGACCCTCCCAAAATTGTTGAGTGATAGATGCATCAAATCTCACTTGTAGTGCATAGACACTTACCACGGACACGATCTCATCTCCTACTATCAACTTAATGCTCATGATGTAGTCGTTATTCCTAAAGACTTCCACCACACCCTCAACACAATCATGTGCCACCATAATGCCTACTCCATTTTGTTCCTCTCTCTCCCTGAATACCACATCTTAAAACCTCATGTATTAATCTCACGTGCCTTTTCTCCAATCCACTTAGTTTCTTGCATGCACATTATGCGGATATTCCTCCTCTTCATAACCTCGACTATCTCAGATGATCTTTCCGTAAGAGAGCCAACATTCCACGTCCCAAAACGTGATCTAACACCCTGCCTTCTCTTCTTCACGGCACATCACCCCTCACCATGCCCTTGCATATTTGACACCATCACCGGGCATTGGAGTGGCGTGTCGCTTCTGGGTGATGACTTAGCAGTCTTAGCATTCTTATCACCACACTCACCCCAGGTGGCGATTATGGGCGATGATTGAAGTGTAGTAGTGCGCCCTTGCATATTTGACACCACCCCTAGGCGGAGGGATGATGTGTCGCTTACGAGCGACGACCTAGCTATAAAGATATTCATATTTCGATTCAGTTCATGTGATGTGACTAAGTGATATTGTTGGGCGTCACGCGCCTACCACAACACCCTCCTTCTCAATCAAAATGAATGGCTAATTGTACTGGTGTAAC